TTTGCCACCTGATGTGATCATTCATATCTACCAGGGATTTTACATCTATTAGGTACAAGGTCATATAAAAACACAAATCTATGTTTGTATTTTGGCTTTTTTGAAACCCACTGTGAATGATCTGTATTTTTCAGTCATCATAACTAATGATTTTAAAATTATTGTCTTTGTAGATTTATAAAGTGAAGCAGATTATCTTTAATATAATTCTGTTGTGAAATAAATTAACTTTAACTTCTACAGTTTCATCAATGAAATGTTGACTTAATGGGCAGGATTGGAGGCTATTTATTGTATCCAGGCTTAAATATGGTAAATTCAATTGCAAGGTAATAATTTGCTGAATTCTAGATTTTATAATTTATAGAATGGAAAAACAGAATGGTCCAGGAGTCATTTAACCCTCTACAACCTAACATCAGTATCCACATCCTCCATACTCCTCTCTGTACATTCCCTTTGGTATTGACCAGGATAATTTGTTTAAAATGAAACTTATTTGGTTGGCGATCATTTCCTTTATTCTTGTGGTCTTAGTAAATGATTCAGCAGTATTGTAAGGGGAACTTACATGCTGATCACTATCAGCATTTAAAGGGTTAAATGCTATAATAGTAATTTAGAACTGCTGAGAACATCTTAGTTTTTGTACATAAATTGTAGAGCACTTTTATTAGCTACTATGGAGTCTAGCTTTGACTACGGTTTAAATTTTCCTAAGCGTATAATTGTGAAAAAAAGACCACAATTCTTCATACCAACAAAGATGTCAGATTTTCAAAGAGATATACAATGTAAATATGCTGACTTCCTGACTTTCCCCTGATATTGAAGAATTCTCTTTTTCTCTGAATACTTGTGGTGGCAACCATGAAGGACTGAGTCAATTATTTACAAAATATAAGACTATCACATGTTCTTAAAGATACCACAGTACTCTACCTCGCATTTTCATGTTTGGCCATTCTGCACATTGAAGAGCCTCGACAACTCTATCAATCCCAGTCTTCTCTTGAAAGTCATCTACAGTCAATCAATATAATTGTTAGTTTC